AGATGTCCAAATTTGCAAACTTCACACTCAAGAAGCTTAGTCCTCGCTCGACATGATAGGTATGTGGTGGAGATCTCACATCAACTAACAATATTATAATAATAATGTATATATAAGTGAGAAACAATCTTCACATTATAAATAAATGTTCAAACTTGCGAACTTCATGCTCAATAAGTTCAATCTTCAATATGAGAGACATGCGTTAGAAGTCTCACATTGACTAAAAGTATTACAATAATAATATAGATATAATTGAGGAACAATTCTCTCATTATAAGTAAATTTTATATGATTGAATTAGATTTCAATTTTACTGTCTAAAAAAAATATTTAAGAATTTAACTATTTTGAAACCATTTTATTTTACTTGATTCTTTAAGATTATAATAATTATGTAGCACAACTATTTAGAAATCATCTTGTTTTAATTGTTCCTTTATTATAATAATTATGTAGTAGAGGAGCACTACAAGAAAAATACTGATTTTTAACGGAAATTTTGGACAGAAACAAGTAAATTTTCGACGGTTTTTTTTCTCGACGAATTTAAATCCGTCGGAAAAAGTGGCGTTGAAAAAAAAAATCGTCGGAAATAATTTAACCCGTCGGAAATTTCTGATGGAAAATTTCGTCAGAAATTTCTAACGTAAATATCCGTCGAAAAATTCTGTCGAAATTTTCCGACGAACATTTCTGACAGAAATTTCTGTCGGAATTTTCCTTCAGAAATTATAATTTTTTTTTAATTTTAATAAATTTATTAATGTAACAACCTTCATATTTGGTCTCTCAAGGGTTCTATTTCACGACATTTCACTGTTTAGCATGTTTTATCCTTACTTGTGCAATTTCTAGAAAATTTCCCAGATGAGTAAGCTACCGAAATGTATATGTATGTTGTCGGTATAACTTGTACAAATTAATTCATTTAAGTCATCCTCAAATAGATAATCTCACACTTGTACTATAATAATAATATATAATAATTTTATATTACAAGTAGAGATTCAAGAACAAATCATTCTAAAGAAAAATGAATCTCAACTTCAAGATGTAGTGAATGTCGCCACCGGCCCAAAACGGGCCTCGGCGGTCGCGAAGACGGTCGAGCTCGCTTTTATTTTAGTTTTGAAAATGTATTGGATTATTAGAACGACTTGTTCTCAAACTGAGACCTTGTCGATCTTATCCAATTTATTTATTAAAACAAGATTTATAAGCATAGAATATATTACTAATTTCCTAAATTAAATAAAATATGTATGCATATTTAACAATTATCAATTCATTAGTGTAAAAATAAGATTTTCTGATGTATTTTTTTATGTTAAATGTTATCCACACGACATAAAAAGTGACGCGGTAACATTTTTGTAAATATGTCAAAATATTCTATGATAGTTGTTGATTTATCCATTATAGAATGTTCTTTTTATGACAGGTAAGTCAACACCTATTATGGAATGAATTGGTCAACCTTTGATTCCAACTTTTTTATGATGGGTGTTGACTTACTCATCATAGAAAGAAATATTTTATGATGGATAAATCGTCACTTGCCATATAATGTCTTTTTATTATTTACACTAAGAGCACGAATTGAGTTCGTACTCCTCTATTTCATTTTCTTCTTTGTTTAGGCGATATAGACAATTTTGACGACAAACAGTTGTACATTGTTAAGGCAATTTCTGGTGATACTAATGACTGTTGAGATGATTTTCGACAAAACTCTCTGTTTGTTCTCATACTCTTCTCCTTTTTGTTTTCGTTCTCACAATTGTTTGATCGTTCTCATGCTCCCAAGTTCGTTCTTTTTATTTTCTCTTTTTGATGTATTTTGTGTATGGTGTTGGTATTGTTTGATGTTGTTGATCCAACAAGAGAGAAAGAGATGTGGTAGGAGAGAAAAAACATGATGACAAAACGCGACGAGAGAAAAAAAAATATAACAAAATTTATAAAATAAATATTGTTCATCCATCTTAAAATAAACAATAAAAATAAATTAAAATATATTTAAGCCTAGTATTTATTTTCATTATATATGATTTATTTTGTAGTAATAAATTTTTAATATATATATATATATAATTATTAAATACCTATTAAATAAATATTTGCATTAATGAGACGGGTGATATAATTACTGGTTGCACGCATCCTTATCATCCTTTGACCTAACTTGTGAATATTTTGCAAAATCATAAAATTGAAATGAATTATTGATTAAGTATTTAATCAAAAACAAGATTTATAAGCATAGAATATATTACTAATTTCCTAAATTAAATAAAATATGTATGCATATTTAACAATTATCAATTCATTAGTGTAAAAATAAGATTTTCTGATGTATTTTTTTATGTTAAATGTTATCCACACGACATAAAAAGTGACGCGGTAACATTTTTGTAAATATGTCAAAATATTCTATGATAGTTGTTGATTTATCCATTATAGAATGTTCTTTTTATGACAGGTAAGTCAACACCTATTATGGAATGAATTGCATATTAATTTTAGAAGGTTTAAATATATTTTAGTCCGTATAAGATGGGTGATTTTGATTTTGGTTTTTGTAAATTTTTTTCTTTATTTTTCAATTTTGTAAAATTTATAAAGTTTGTGTCGTACTTGTAAAATGAGTAAAATATTTTTCTTTGATTTTCATCCCTCTAAAATATAAATTTACTAGTTTGATTATTTTAAGGTAGATAAATAATATTTATTTTAAAAAACTAATTTTTTTTTAGAGGTGTTAAATATCAATACGATAATAGAACATAATTGTTGTAGGTGACACCTAAGATAATTATTTATCTTTTTTAAAAAAAATAAAAAGTAGTTAAAAATGATTACATAAAAAATAAGAATTAAAAATAAAAATTCCAATTTTAAAAATGAAAATAAGAAATAAAAAAAAAATAAGAAATTTTCGACGGATTTATATTTTCGTTAGAAATTTTCAACGAAATATTGCATCAAAAATTTTTGACGATTTATTTTCTGACAGAATTTTTTGTAGAAAAGTTTTCGACGAATTTATATTTCTGTCAGGAATTTTTGACAGAACCGACGAAAAATTCTGCCAAAAAATTCTGACAAAAATATAAATCTGTCTGAAATTTTTGACAAAAATATCTGTCAAAAATTTTCCGTCGAAAAATATAAATTTTCCAACAAATATAGATCCATCCGAAATTTTCTGTTGAAAATTTGCTTTTTTCAGTAGAGAGGGGAGGGCGATATCATGGCTTTATATATATTTGTTGCAAGCATGCATGTGGACAACTATTTCAACTAACGTAAAACATGGAGGCACTCAGTCATTCTTTATAAGTTGACAAGGTGGCTTTTAAATAGTTAAAAAAAAGTAAATTGTTTTTTTTAAATCTATAAAATATATTCCTTTTGGACTTATATATATTTTTTTTAACTGTAATATAAATAAATTTCAATTAAATAAATCTTATGGTAATGAATGAGAGAATTATCTATTATAAATAAGGTGTTTTTTTATGGATATGATTTACAAGATGTCCCAAAACTAATAACCTATAATTAATCCTTACTCGTAAGAATATTTTAAGAAATATAATACATATTTTATATAAAATTGTAAAAGTTAAATAAATTTAATTATTTTTCTTAATATATATGAAATTAATTATTTTTATTTATATATAAGTTCAAAGGAATATAATTTTTAGTGTCTATATTTTATAAGACATTTATATTCTTATATTATATTTCATAAGATTGAATATTGTTTTATTAATATTGATCAAATAAAAAAAAAATTACATGTATCATATGATATGACATCTATTAAGTAATAATATGAATATCAATAATTGAGATCAACATACACAATCACATAACAAACAAGACTTAATCCTAAAAACTCATTAAAAAAAAGAAAAAAACTTACCTTGCTTTTACGGTTTTTTTCAACACACGGAGTGGGTAAGCTTATAAAGTCAAGTAATTATTGATTTGCTACTTTATAATATGATATGAATCCACATTTTAAAGCATGCAACCTTTGACACCCGGTTGAGTTTTTGAAATCAAGAGAACTAAGATCAATTTTCTACTTGACTAAACAAAAATACCCGAATCCATTAAATGTGCTGGTGTTAGGCGTTAGCAGTCATTGGCAATGAAACCCATACATTAATGTTATTTTGTGGGTACAAGGAGCAAGAAGGGTGTGTGACAGACAAAGAGGGTGAAGGAGGGTTGGTTTGGGTGATTTGTCTCTCCAAAGGTGTGGCACAAAACAAAACAAAACAAGACAATGGTATCTATGGATGCCTCAGATACTACTTTGTGGTTGAACAAATCGTTAAGCAGCCTTGTCCCAAGCTATGTTCCCTGCTACGAAGCAGACAAATTTGAGTTGTCAATTAAACAACATATGCACAATTCCTTATATATCAAGGGCGAACATTGATGACTATAATGGACTCTTGGTTTTTGGTTTACTCACAAAAACGAATCCTTGTATAACTGTCCAAGGATATCCTTTGTCCGAGAGCAACATTGCCCCTTAATACAACAGAAACCGTGAAGTCTCAACTTGGATCACTCTCTCTCCCCCCTGTCCTTTAGCATACACATATAAGTTAGAATTTAAACAAAAAAACAACCGGGTTTTACTTTGATTGGACTTGCTTTTGATCTTCCAAGAAACAAAAGAACTAACAAATCTCCAACCTCTGAATCTTTACTCTTCCACAATGGATATGGTCCTCTTTACAGCAATATAATCTTTAGGCCGGTCGAAGGTCGACGCTTCCACCCCTCCAAAAGTGCCTTTAATATACTCGTAATGTTTTTTAGGGACTAATTTCTTAAAATATAAATATCTATTAAAAAGAATGGACAAAGAAATTACGTGTTTTAGATACGGTATGAAATTTAAAGGCCAAATTCCCACCCAAAATCCCCTATAAAAGGCAGCACACATGAGTTTGCACAACCCCCTTCCCCTCTTCTCTCTCTCTTTCTCTCTCTTGCTCTGTTAAACTTTCACGTGTTTTGTAAACTAAACTCTCACGGACAAGAAAAAGTGAAACTATGTGCCATATAGCCTCCCACCTGCCCTGCAAATGCAACTGCAACTGCAACGAGGAGACAGAGAATCAGCCGGACACGATGATCACGAACCCGTTGATCCAAAAGGATGAGCCAAGAAGAATGCGAACCCAGGTCATGAAAGAAGTAATCTCCATATCCAAAATAGCTCTCCCCATGATCCTCACGGGTCTATTACTATACTGCCGCTCAATGATCTCCATGCTCTTCCTGGGGCACCTCGGGGAACTCGCCCTCGCCGGCGGCTCCCTCGCCGTGGGGTTCGCCAACATCACTGGCTACTCCATCCTCTCGGGCCTCGCCGTCGGAATGGAGCCCATTTGCGGCCAAGCCTTCGGCGCCAAAAGATTCAGCCTTCTCGGCCTCTGCCTACAGAGAACCGTTGTTTTGCTTCTCTTCACTTCCATCCCAATCTCCCTCCTTTGGCTCTACATGAAGCACATCCTTCTCTTGTGTGGCCAGAACCAGGCCATAGCCACGCAAGCCCAAAAATATCTTCTTTTCTCCATCCCCGACCTCATAACACAATCCTTCCTACACCCCTTACGAATCTACCTTCGAACACAATCCATTACTCTGCCTCTCACCCTCTGCGCCGTTTTCTCCATTCTCCTCCACCTCCCCATCAACTACCTCCTCGTTTCCCACCTCAATTGGGGAATCAAAGGGGTCGCTCTCGCTGGAGTCTGGACTAATCTCAACCTTGTTGCTTCCTTAATTCTCTACATAGTCCTCTCTGGCACTCATAAGAAAACATGGGGAGGTTTTTCCTTCGAGTGTTTTACTCAGTGGAACTCGCTTCTCAATTTGGCTATTCCGAGTTGCATTTCCGTGTGCCTGGAATGGTGGTGGTATGAGATCATGATTCTGTTGTGTGGCTTGTTGGTGAATCCTAGAGCCACCGTGGCTTCCATGGGGATTTTGATCCAAACCACTTCTTTGCTCTACATTTTCCCTTCTTCAATAAGCTTCAGCGTCTCAACTAGAGTTGGGAACAAACTCGGCGCGCAGAAGCCCTCAAAGGCCAAACTTTCTGCTATAGTTGGCCTCTCTTGCAGCTTCGTGTTGGGTGTTTTGGCTTTGGTTTTCACCATTGTGGTTAGGAATGTTTGGGCCAGCATGTTTACAAATGACCAAGAGATAGTGAATTTGACATCATTGGTGTTGCCGATTATAGGACTTTGCGAACTCGGAAACTGTCCTCAAACAACGGGGTGCGGGGTGTTAAGAGGCACAGCGAGACCCAAAGTGGGTGCCAACATTAATTTAGGTTGTTTCTACCTCGTGGGAATGCCTGTTGCGGTTTGGCTTGGCTTCTACGCAGGGTTTGATTTTCAAGGCTTGTGGCTTGGGTTACTTGCTGCTCAGGGCTCTTGTGCTGTGACCATGTTGGTGGTTCTGAGTCAAACGGATTGGGATGGTGAGGCTCTGAGGGCTAAGACACTAACAAGTGTTGTTGTTGTTGTTGATAACAGCAAGGAGATTGGTCCAGAGAAGCCGCACAAAGCTGAAATCAAGGAAGATTCTTTATCATTAGCGGATTCGGATCAAGATAAATAATCGTGGGTTTAACTTTTAGTAATCTTGGTGTTTTGACAAAAACGAAAACCAAAAGGCAAAAAAAATGAAGACAAATAGTGTGGGAGAGAGATTGATAGAAAGAGAAATCTATCAGGAATTTGTCTTTAGCTGTATAGGGAAGGAGAGGGTAGTGACACAGGATGACTTTTTTGTTTTTATATAATTTAGGTCACATGGCTGGATCGAGGATTTTATTTTAACTACAATAATGTTAAAATTTTTCACGTAATTATCGTCGTTACCGTTTTTGTTCTCTTCTATCGTCAATTCAAATCACGATCGTCTGCTTCAGTTAAATTAACTTGCACGTTATATACAACTAATATTACTTGTTTAACTCATGCTGTTTCCTAAATGTTTTGTCCTCTTTCCTCTGTTCGGGTAAAAGAAGGCACTATACAGCTACAAGCAGGTTATATATTCTATTTAGCAAATTCCAATAATAAAAACATAAATATTTCGAGCAAGAAAACCCATATATACTCAAGACATATACCTTTCACTCCAGACAATATAAGAATTTATTATTGTCCTAAAATTGACTTGGGAGTTTTCCATTTCTTTTTATTGATTAGATTAGAGCAATCTCAATTACTGCGTAAGGTATATGTTTGGTAGAGACAAGAGTATATTAATTATAGCCATGTAAGCTAAGCTATTGTGCATACACATTTTTCTATTTATTCATGACACTAGCAGCCACCAATTTTGGGCATGAATCACTCTTTATTGTAACTCTGCACGTCATAGTGCATTACCTTACCCATGTATGTTTCAAGTTTTTGTTTCACTATTCTCAGTTTGACTCCATCCAACTACTACTACTGATAAAATTATGCTATAAACTAAAAGGAAAATGAGCCTTTCACACTCTTT